GCTCCTATTTTCCTTTCCATTACCGATGAGGGACAATTGTCTTTTACATTAAAGCATAAGAGAACTTGATTCGTATTACTAGTGTACCGACTCAATTTACTAATAGCACATGTTATATCTGGTCCCGTGCAATTCATAATATACATCAAACTTTCCAACACTCTGGCATATTCCAATTGAGAGTCACTTTGACCTTCATTCTTTTTAAATGTACAACTTATATCAGTTGGAGTTTTAACAACATTGCAATTCAAGTATTTGAACTTATCCAATACTTTTTCAATATAATGAGATTGAGATAACGTTAGTCTCTAGGGAGTTTTGATAATCCTGACCCCTAAGATCAAATTAGCAACTCGTAAGTCTTTCATATCGAACTTGCTGGATAACATGCGCTTAGTAGCATTTATATCTTAATTTCTTTACTCAATATTAACATGTCATCAACATACAAACAAACAATGACTTCATGATTCATAACTTTTATAATGTAAACACATTTATCACATTCGTTAATCTTAAATCCATCTGCCAACATTGTTTGATCAAATTTAGCATGTCATTGTTTGGGTGCTTGCTTGAGTCCATAAAGTGACTTCACAAGTCTGCACACATTCTTTTCTTTACCAGGAACTATAAACCCTTCATGTTGTTTCATGTAAATTTATTCCTCCAACTCTCCATTTAAGAAGGTTGTCTTTATATCCATTTGGTGGATTTTAAGATCATGCACCGTTGCTAGTGTTATTGACATCCTAATTGATGTTATCCTTGTTATTGGAGAGTATGTGTCAAAGTAGTCAAAACCTTCCTTTTGTCTATACCCTTTGACTACCAGTCTAGCCTTATATTTGTCAATACTCCCATCAGGGTTCATTTTCCTTTTAAAGATCCACTTTGATCCTAAAGGTTTATTTCTTAGAGGAAGATCAGCTAATTCCCAAGTGTGATTGCTTAAAATTGATTCAATCTCACTGTTGACTGCTTTTTCAATAAGTTGACTCTGACGAAGACATAGCTGCTTTAAATGTTTGAGACTCATTTTCAAGCAATAGTGCTACAAAATCTGGTCCGAAAGAAGTAGATTTTCGTTGTTGAGTACTATGCCTAGGTTCCTCACTAGTTAGAATATTTTCCATCGATTCTTCTCATGGTCGTTTAGGTCTTTCACTTGTTGACTCACTTTCAGTTTTATACGGATAAATATTTTCAAAAAACTCTACATTATCTGATTTAATTATCGTATTAATATGAATCTCAGGATTATCAGATTTGTGAATCAAAAATCGACATGCTTTACTATTCACAACATACCCAATAAAGACAAAATCTATTATTTTGGGTCTAATTTTAACTCTCTTCGGTAAAGAAATCTCTACCTTTGCTAAACACCCCCACACTTTGAAATATTTCAAGTTAGGATTTTCTTCCTTTCCACTACTCATATGAAATTGATTGTGTTTTTAGATGGGGTACTCTATTGAGTATTTTATCTGTAAGGAAGGCTTCCCCCTAAAGGTTTCACGGTGAACAAGAATTTATCATTAAGGTAATCATCATTTTCTTTAATGTTCTGTTCTTCCGTTCTGCCAAACCATTTCATTGTGGTGTATAAGGTGCGGTAGTTTGATGAATAATACCATATTCCAAACATATCTCTACAAAAGGAGATTCATATTCTCCACCTCTATCACTCCGAATCATTTTTATCTTTAGATTCAATTGGTTTTCCACTTCATTTTTGTATTGATTAAATGCATCAATTGCTTCATCCTTACTATTAAGCAAATATACATAACAAAATCGAGTGCAATCATCAATCAAAGTTAAAAAATACTTTTTTCCACCACCATATGATGTTGACTTCATATCGCATATATCTGTGTGAATTAAGTCTAAAGTTTTTAGAATTTCTTTCAACGGACTTGTAAGGATGTTTAACAAACTTATTTTCCACACAAATTTCGCATTTCGACTTATCACATTTAAAATCAGGCAAAACTTTTAAATTAATCAATTTTCGCAAGGCTTTGTAATTTACATGTCCCAAACGGGCATGCCATAAATCAGTTAACTCCAATAAGTAAACAGAAGCAAAATTTTTATTAATACTGTCAACAACTATTACAATTAGTTTGAAAAGACCCTCATTGAGGTAACCCTTTCCTATAAACATTCATTCTTACTTATTATAGTTTTATCACTAACTAAGACACACTTAAGCCCGTTCTTATTGAGTAGTGCAGAAGAAACTGAATTCTTCCTAATAGTAGGGACATGCAGAACATTGTTCAAAGTCAACATCTTGCCAGATGTCCTTTTCAACATTACTTTCCCAATTCCTGCAATCCTTACTGTTGTTGTGTTTTCCATGAATAAATCTTCATTGTACTCAGCAGGAGTGTACGTTGCAAAGGCTTCTTTCGCAGAGCAAATATGTCTAGTGGCACCTGAGTCGAGAAACCACTCCTTGGGATTTCCAACTAAGTTACACTCCGATATCATTGCACACAATTCATCTACATCTTCCATCTTTTCCACGATGTTTGCTTGACTTTTGTCTTGGGCTTTGTTTTTGTCCTTTCTTGGAGCATGACAATCAGAAGAGCTATGACCAGTCTTGCCACAATTGTAACAGTTGCCTTTGAATTTCTTCTTGGCCTATTCTGACTTCTGGCCGTTGGACTTCTTTCTCTTTTTGTTTTTGGTAGGATCTTCTTCAACAATATTAACTCCAATAATTGTTGAACTCTTACACAACTTCTTTTCGACGTTTTTGTTATCTTCCTCAATCTTGAGCCGAATCACAAGATCTTCAAGCTTCATTTCTTTACGCTTGTGCTTTAGATAATTCTTGAAATCGTTCTACGAAGGAGGTATCTTCTCAATCATTGCAGACACTTGAAAAGCTTCATTTACTACCATATCTTCAGCAATCAAATCATGGAGAACAAGTTGAAGTTCCTGCACTTGTGATCCAACAGTTTTATTATCTACTATTTTATAGTCTAAAAACTTTGCAACCACAAACTTTTTCAAGCATACATCTTCTGTCTTATATTTCTTCTCAAGTGCATCGCACAACTCGTTTGAAGTTGTTATTGCACTATAGACATTATATAAGTCATCCTCTAAAGCACTCAAAATGTATCCTTTACATAGGAAGTCTGACTGTTTCCATGCTTCAATAATCATGAATTTTTCCCTGTCTGACATATCATCAGCAGGAACTGGAGTATCTTCACTTGTAAATTTCTACAGACCAAGAGTGGTAATCCATAAAAATACTCGTTGCTGCCATCCTTTGAAATTCACACCTGTGAATTTATCCGGTTTCTCTGCTTGTGGTACAAGAGTTCAGGTTGGTGCAGCAACAACCACTGTAACACCAGTGTTTGCCATTTCTGTTAAAGGAGTATAAAATCACGAAGATTTTTGTCTCCACTAGAAACATTGATTTCAAAAAATTAATTTCCTTAAGATTGTCAACCAATCTGTGTTATCAAAACTAGAAAATTACTGATTTTAATAAATTGTTTAGAAACACGAAGTAACTGAAATTTATAGAACCAGTAAGCAAGATGAACAGAAAAATTTATTTCTCAACAATACTTAAATCTGCAAAAACTTACCAGAATCTGAAATAAACATTTAGTTTGGAAGAAAATCAAGTCCACTGAATTCAGAATGTCCCCTTAAGAAAATTATTCCCCTGTAGTATCCGAGGTTTGATTTGGAATATAACCTCCCAGGGTAAAATGATCTTAATCAGTAGAGTATAGATACCAAAACCTCAGCAGGAAAGTACACGAAGAAATATGTGTTTAGAAGAAGAAGGAAGACCAGAAAATTCGTTAGAAAATATTCTGAAGACTCAGTGGACACGATCATTAATGAAAGTTTGCAACCTTTCAAATGGTATTGACAGTTCCTGAAAGTTGCAACCTTTCAGAATAGTCATGACGGGAATTTTAAATTAAACCGGAAGCCGAAGCGACAACGGCACGAGGGGGGTCCCTCTTTCCAACCCTTTTAACAATTAATAAGAGTGTTTATGTATTTAAAATCTCCTATTTTCCTTTCCATTACCGATGAGGGACAATTGCCTTTTTTATTAAAGCATAAACGACTTTTCAAGTTTCCAGCTTTTCAAGTTCCTCTCCTTCCCTCTATTTCTCATCAATTCTTGCTACATACCCAAAAATATATGCCAATAAATAGACAACTTAACAAGTCAATTGTTTTAAAAAAAGACAAAGGTAGCCTAAAATCTGTGATCCCAATTTGGTATTAAGATATTCAAATGTAACGCGAGGAGGACAAGGAAGCAATTGGGTGGCTGCTATAGATCCACATATGGATGACAATGATATACATACCTTTACCTAATAATTGTATCCACTAACGGTTTCCTTTCCAAACCCATGTGCTCCACAATTTGCGTAAGGAGGTTACAGTGAAGTGATAATTTTATTTATTTATTTATGAGGTTTTGAATTTGAGTGCTTTTAGATATCAAAGTGTTATTGTTAAGAAATATTTTTCCTTTTAAATGGAATTTTTTGATATTTAAATTTATATTTAGTTCAATTTTAATATGAATATTTAATAGTAGGTGAAAAATAATTTTATTTTTTTCGCATAAGGACAACCGAAAGAAACCAAAAAAAAAATTGGACAAGGACAACCAAAATTTACCAGCACATTGACAAAAACTCTAGGCATTAGGAATGTTTGGTAGAGTATATTAAAAAAAATATTATATTTATTAATTGTATTTATATTCTTTCTATCATATTTTTTATAAATAAAAAATATTTTAGAAATTGTGGAATTTATGATATTGTTAATATACCAAAGTAAGCAAAGGAAAAGAAATAATGTCAGTGGTTTAATAAAGTAAAATGTACAATAAGTTTCAACACAAAACATGTATGTATTGATTTAATATAAACACGCGATTCAGATAAGTTTTACCTTAATATGAGAAGTAAGAAAGTAAAAATCAATCAGTGTGCTATCTCGTCTTTTTTCCACACTTGTGATTAGTATCTCCTCCTTTATCCACAGTTGTGATTAAATATAGTTTTGTGCAACTCTAATATGAGAAGTTAAAGGTAGAAAGTGAGACAAAAAGAGGAAAATAAAATTACTTTTATTGAGTTCGTGCTCTCTGTTTGGTGCTCAAGAATCAAGAAAGATCCTAATTATTAATTTTAGAAGAGAATGTCAACAATGGCTACTTGTAGTGGTTACCTCACAAATTCTTTTTGTAAAAGGGCAATACATGAGAGTATTTCAGCATTCTTGATAATGTCAGCAAGATCATCGAATCTCAATTCCTCAAGCAAGGGGAAGAAACAAGTATTTAGAGAATTGCGATATGCCATTCCACAATCTGAGACTGAATCAACATGCAAATCGAATCTCCATTGTGATCGATTGGATGAAAAAGTGTTGGATCAGGAAAATCGACATCAGTTCATGGCACATGAAGCAGTGCTTGATGAAGAATATTGGGTTAGTATCCTTCTTCATAATTTAAGATCCAATAGCTTGTGTTTTCACTATGTTTAGCTTTAATAATTGACAGAGAGCAGCATGGCTGCGAGCTGAATCTCACTGGGAAAATCGCCAAAATGATCGGTATGCACCCTACCCTGTTATGCACTTAAAAAGTATGCATATAAATGAATCATTAATCAACTAGTCGGAATTGGCTATATGAATTCTTTATATCGTACTTTAATTAATATAAATGATCCATCATATTATGACAATTTTTATGCAATAATGGTATTATTATTATACCATCAACCAACACACCCTACCTTTGGTAGGATCGGATAAAATATCCAATCCAACCATACTTATCATAGATTAAAAAATAAATCAATGGGTTAGTAAAAACCTCTGGCTTCACGAATAATCAGGGAAGTCAAAAGCTAATGGGTCGGATTGGATAGTTAACTACAAGAAATCTTTAATCATTTTCGTCTTTGATAATGCAGATTCGTCAATAACTATAAAAGGAAATATGCAGAGCAGGTAATTTACAAGTGTTACATGAAAAACGTATGCGCAGTGCATAATATCTCATAGTTCCACTATGCAGGAGTTTAATGCCTTGAAAAGAAGATGCAAATCACAAATTGGGCAAAGATGCACCTGCATTGTTGCGGTATAAATAAATCTGTAAACAGAAATTTACCTTCACATAATATTATTTTTCTTCAACTCTTGTCTTGCAAGAAAATTAGCTTCAAACTTGTTTTAGTTCATCATATCTGATATGTACTGTTGACATCAACAGGTACGGGCAGAAGATAAAATTATCAGACATACAGTACTTAACAGTGTCGTTGGGACACTAGATTTAATCATCGGGCACTTGTCAAGTGGAGAGTCTTTTCCCGGGGTAATTAATCTGAATAAATAAGTAACAATTTTCCCCTCAAGATTTGAAATGTCTTCAATTCAACAGGGAAGGGTGAATGCCCCTGATTTGAGCAACATTGAGAGATCATCCATTAATAGATATGGTTATATTGCAAATTTATGTGTTCTGAAATCTTCTCGAAGGAAAGGTGTTGCAAGAAACATGTTGAATTTTGCTATTAGATTGGCTAAAGAATATGGTAAGCAATATAATTTGGATGCAACAGTTGTAGAATCAATCACGAAAAGACTAAATCTGTTGTTTGTGTAATAGGTGCAGAAAAGGTGTTTGTGCATGTACATACAAACAATGGACCTGCACAAAAGCTTTATCAAAATGTTGGCTTTCAGGTAAAAAATAAATTTCTTTTGTAACTTAAGTTAATCTATTTTTGTGTTAATAAAAATTCCGTGTTTTACCAGGTTGTGGAAGTGAAAAATCATAAACTCGCTGAAGAACAACCTCACTTGCTTTTCCTCAGAGCATGAAACACATTGAATGCAAGTCAAATTTTTTTCTATTTTTTGGCTGATATATTTGGAGCATACCCCTTCACATTCCATTTTTTCCACGCGTATATATATATATATATATATATATATATATATATGCAGTAATGAAAACTTCAACTATGATTAAACAAATATCTGATGTATTCCTTTATTCTTATGAGAGACAGAAAATAAGAGAGGAAAAATTCATTAACAAGTTTCCGTATGTTTGATGAACAAGGTGAGATATTGACCTCTTTATAAATGAGAAAAATTAGTAATCCTCAAAAAATCAAAACAATAGTACTGTCGAAGAAAGCTATCATCCCGAAGACAATACTGTTATTGAAGGAAGTTAATGTCATCCATATATAACTATCACTGAAATCATACTCGCCGAAACTTGTTTGTACATGAGTGCCTTATATTTAGATGTACGCATGTAGAAGGCGACTTTTCGGATTAATTTTAGATAGAGCGTAATATATATTTTTCATTTGAAGACTGCCATAAATTCTGCAAGCACCTAATAAATTTCATCAAACATTGACATGATAAGCTTCATTTTGATTAATATATTCATATGCATCCAGCAGTTAGCCAACCTCACAAGCATATTGCTCAAGTCAATGCATTATAAATTACATACACATTGTTATTTTTCATCATTGCAGAGAGATCAAGAACATCTCCCATCTCTTAACATTGTCGTTGTTGTGCGACTTTGCGTTCGGATTTGGTCAAATCAGTAATTGGTATATTCTTTGGACCTAATTTATAATGTTAATATTAATAATTATTAACGTTTTCCTTCTCGAATATTTGCTTCATTTTGCTCATTTACTTGTATGGTTTCATAGCTCACATGTTAAATCTCCCCCCCCAAAAAAAATCCCATCCGATCCTCTGACTATATACCACCACAAACTTACTCTTAACAAGCTTGAGAACATATGATATGCGGAGTCCAACGGCACCAACTCTAATATTGTTGTTTTATTTAATCCAGTTACTGATAAAGCTTCTTGGCAGCTCAAACTTTTCTACCTGAAATGCCCAGATTTCCATGATTATGTGTGGGCACAATACGTTCGGATCTTCTCCCGCTCATTAATCAACTATCACACAAATTAGTAAAGAAGTGGGTACAACACTTGGTTTTGCTAGAATCAATTGATCCAAAATGCCATAATGGCTCCTGTCGATCCTACGGTTAATTCAACTATTTCTTTTGCCTTCAATGTTAAACTTACTTGGTATTTGTGCTCTTGGATTATGTCAACAAGTCCCAAACATGAATTCTCAGGTCACGGTGACTATCAAAAGACTCCTGCTAAATCCCCGATTATCTCCATCAAGTGCCCTCTATTTGCAATGAGCTTGCCACTGTTGGTGCTTCATTTACCAATAATGAATTAGTAGTGAAAGTACAAAGTGTTCGAATAAGATTTTCATGAGATTTCCGCTGCAATTCGATAAAGAGATTTCATCATCATGTAGTATAATGAGTTGTATGCAAAACTAATTGATTATCAACTCTTCCTCAACATGAGGAATTGAAGAAAGAAACAGTTGCAATAACTGATGCATAGGTCATTCACAGATCCACCAATTCCAACAACCGCACTGTTCATCAATTCAATAACAACTCACAATGGTATTCCAATAATTGTACAAATGCTCCTACATAAGGGTGTTACATCAGTAAACCTGTTTGTTATCAGTTATACAACAAACAGGGTCATGCTGCAAATGTTTGCAACTCACAGTATCGACAAATTTTCTTCAAGTAACCCAGCTGCAACAAGTTAATGGATTGTCAGCTTCGGTGCTACGTATCATGTCACAGCAGAGCCTATCAATTTTGAAGAATATAATGGTTCAGAAGGCATACCTATGGGTGATTGTAAAAGAATCTCAATTACTCACTACGGTTCTACTGATTTAATTGCATCAAATAATGCTTCAGACTAACCGATACTTTGTGTGAACTACCTAGTTTTCAAATAAAATATTCTTTCAATATAAATTTGATTTTTTATTTATTTTTTCATTTTGTTTCTTTGTGAAGGACTTTAAAACATAGACTCCGCTGGTATCCGGTGGCAATAGAAACGAATTCTATGAATAGCCCAATTTTACAATAAATATTCCTATTTGTTTTTCAAGTTGCCTCTACAACTGTTCCTCGCCAACTCTGGCACCAACACCTTTGTCATGCCCATTTCCGACTCTTGAACTTTTTACTAAGTTCGGAAATACTTTTTAAATATACAATAATTTCACTATGAATTTGTTATGCTTGACCATGACTTTTAAAAAAATGAATTAATGAGTATGTTTTTAAAAAATATATTTATATATTTAACTTGTTAGAATACTAAATAAGTCTATTGAAAAAAAGTTTATTCATAAAATGCATTAGTTATTCATAATTTTAATACCAAACATCAATTGAAAAAACTTCAATAATGATAGTGGTGAAAAATGTATAGTTATATAGATAAATAAGTAGAAAGAAAGAGAAATAAAAAAGGAAATTAGAAAAATAAAATGGGAATTAAAAAAATACTACTCTTTCTATACCAACTCAATACCTAGGGGTCGTTTGGTAGGAAAAAATTTTGTTCTGTAATTATTACATGTTGGTCCATGAGTGACCAAATTATTGTGTTCAAATGCTGGAGTGGTTCTTGTGTAGATCGGAATTGCATGTTTAATATCGTAGATGATATCTTAGGGATCCTTAGGTGGCTGGAGTTACTTGGAAGATGTGTGGAATCACTTATATAGTTGTTGTTGTTATGAGGTTGTAAATGTTTTATATAGTTGTTAAGTCAGGTTGATGACTGGGTCTTGTTTATATCCACTGACTTGGGTTATACATGTTTTACTAAGTTATAATTATATGTGCATATTCATATATTTGGAGTTGACTACTGAACCTACTAGTACACTTTTGTTGTTGTGTAGTGATATTGCACTTGTTTAATTTTTTGGTTGGGTACAAGGTGTATTCCGATGGCTGTTGCATGATCATAGTTGTGATACAGACGTTTCCAGAATCTATGAGTGAACTGCTTCTTCCGACTATCATGGATTCATCTACTTTGTTTAGTCCATTGTTCAGACTTAGATTCTTTTTCTTTGGGGTTGCATCCCTATATTCTAGACTATGTTAGATGTTTTGATACATGACTTTCAAATTCTAGGGGAATTATTTCCGCAAATTTTCTGTCAATGATTTTAATTATGAATCTTGGCTTAGATTTTTAGTTGTTTAGTTGGTTAAGTTTTTTTTTTTAATCACATTCTAATTTATCGGGTTGTGCAGGTACGTACTCTAAACCTAAATAGGAGAACCCTTACTGTAATGACTCGGTCAGTCATTTTTAAAGGTTTTCATGAATTTACCATTTTGGCCCTTTCACTATCGACCCCGAGTCTTTAATGCTAAGTTTTGAAAATCGAGTTTGAACTTTCAATTAAAAGTTGAGAAATTTTTAAGTTGGTCATCTTGAAAGTCTAAGTTGCTTTAAAAGTGCGTTTTAGAATCTTTTTAAGTTTTGATTGTCGGAATGGAATTTTAATGATTCAATCAATCCCAAAATGTGGAATTAGGCTGTGAGAGTTGTCATTTTAGATTCGGAGTTTTTGGGGATTTGAGGTCCTAAGTAGTGAAATTTCAAAAATTTAGTCTTCGAGTTGACTCGAGTCAATATTTGGGGTTCAGAACCTCGGATAGAAATTGTGTGAGTTCCGTTGAATTCAGGGGATATAGGCCTAGGTGAGGCCATGGTTCATTTTTTAGAGGCCGCGACCTTGTTTTAGTCTTTTAGGCGTTGAGTTAGTTTCTTGTGGATTTTATGGATGTTGGGTCAAGGTGACCTCAGATTAGTCTCATGCCACGAGCGTACACCCTGGACGTGGCTGACACCTAATGGCCATTGCTGACCTTGAGCGAACCCTTGGCCTGACTTACTTAACTTAGCGTAAGACTTAACTCAATATAAGAAGACAATCTCAGAAGTAACTTGAATTGAAATAGCTTGGCCAGAATGCACTTAAGTCTCATAATAAAATATCTAAAAATATAGAGAGACAAAAAAAACTAAACTTTCTGAGTGTCTATCTGTCTATGAAGCCTCTATAACACTAAGATGAATGTTGGGACAAACCCCACAACATTCTATAAATTAATAGACTAAAAAACATATAAATGTGTCCTCCAGAATGCAAGGAGGCTCACCACCGACTTCGATTATTCTACTAGATCAATGAGGCGCTGGATGATGCAGATCCTTGTTACCTGCTTCTGCATCATGAAACGATGCAGGCCAACTTGCATCAGTACATTGAATTAACAAGTATGCGAGTTGGAATTCTTATAAAACTTAAGCTTGAAAGGAGTAAAGAGGAACACTTACCTTGGCTCTTCTCAACTCATGGATACTCAATTCAATATATATAAGGCAGTAAAACTCATGCGATATAAATATATATAAAACTTTAAAGCAACTGAAACAATGTTAGTTCATTAAAATAAAACAAGAACGAACTTAACTTTAATCATTTAAAGTAATATAACTTTTGTGGGAGATTTACTAACCGACAACCATCAGTGTTAACCTAAGTGATGATACAACGGTTTAGCTCACCCTGCCAAGGACTATCCTATACTTTGCCATCGATATAGGACCTTACTTAACTTACTGGATCCAATAGCTTAACTTACGTGATCATCTAAAAAGTATGACCCGTTAACGCGCATGATGGCTTCATGCTTTACATGGAGACTTGAGTTGATATTAATTCTCATCCTACCATCGGTGCTCAATACCACTACCAAATTATACTTTAGTTCATGCTTTTAAAATAAACTTCCTTTCTTTGGGTTGATATAATTGCTCAACACTTAGCTTTAAAAGTTCTCTTGGAATCAATGTTTCCTTTTCTTGTTCAATACTTTTTTTGGGAAATCTTAGTTTCCTCTTAACTTAAATGTGAAAACATTTATAAACATTCTAGGGAATACTTAGTTCCATTATAACTTTTGAGAAATGAACTCAACTCTTTACTCTTTACTTAGCTTGAAACTTGAGTCTTAAATCAACTATTAGGGAATATTAGTTCCCTTATATTTCTTTGAAGGAAGAACTTCAATTATTACTCTTTACTTAACTTGAAACTTGAGTCTTAAAACGAAGTTTAAATGTT